CTCCTAGGAAAAAAAGAATGAAAGGAAGAAGATATGAAATCCCTCTGCAGTAGAACTATAAACTCAGTAGGCGCACATCCTCTATAGGCACACATCCTCTGTAGGCACACATCCTCAGTAGGACACAACCTCAGTAGGACACAACCCCAGTAGGACACACCCTCAGTAGGACACATGCTCAGTAGGACACATCCTCAGTAGGTGCACATCCTCAGTGAGACACACCCTCAGTAGGACACATCCTCAGTAGGTGCACATCCTCAGTGAGACACACCCTCAGTAGGACACACCCTCAGTAGGTGCACATCCTCAGTAGGTGCACATCCTCAGTAGGACACACCCTCAGTAGGACACACCCTCAGTAGGACACATCCTCAGTAGGTGCACATCCTCAGTGAGACACACCCTCAGTAGGACACATCCTCAGTAGGTGCACATCCTCAGTGAGACACACCCTCAGTAGGACACACCCTCAGTGGTACACACCCTCAGTAGGACACATCCTCAGTAGGACACGTCCTCAGTAGGACACACCCTCAGTAGGACACATCCTCAGTAGGACACACCCTCAGTAGGACACATCCTCAGTAGGACGCATCCTCAGTAGGACACGTCCTCAGTAGGACACATCCTCAGTAGGACACATCCTCAGTGGGACACACCCTCAGTAGGACACACCCTCAGTAGGCACACATCCTCAGTAGGACACACCCTCAGTAGGACACACCCTCAGTAGGACGAATCCTCAGTAGGACACACCCTCAGTAGGACGAATCCTCAGTAGGACACACCCTCAGTAGGACACACCCTCAGTAGGACACACCCTCAGTAGGACACATCCTCAGTAGGACACACCCTCAGTAGGACACATCCTCAGTAGGACACATCCTCAGTAGGACAAATCCTCAGTAGGACACACCCTCAGTAGGACCCACCCCCAGTAGGACACACCCTTAGTAGGACACATCCTCAGTAGGACACACCCTCCATAGGAAACATCCTCAGTAAGAACCATTCTTTTGAGGACTTTCCTCCATAGGGATCATCCTCAGTTAGACACATCCGTAGTTGGACTACTCCTTATTTAGACTCCTTAGGCTGAAGGCTCATCTTTAAGGACGTACTTTCTCAGGTAGACAATCCTTCGGAGGGCCA